TTGTTTTAGATCTGTAAGCATTTCTTATCTACATTTCTGACAAAAAATAGGCTTTTAGAAGTTGTTTTACTTGTTCAGACATGCGTCTACTTCTGCTATGCTTTCCAAAAATTGTTTTTCAAAGAGAGCCCAACCCAGTTCAAAGTAATTCCTTTTAAAATTAAAAATTTTAATTTAACATCTAGAAAGTATTTATTATATTAATTTTTTTCTCTATAATGGACCATTTGGTTTAGGAAAAAATGTCTGTTATAGACAATAATATTAATAATAATTTATATATGTACATAAATTGGGCTTAAATTTTCAGTACATTATAGAGAGTGGACTGTAGAGAGAACCTGTTATAGACATGTAAATTGGGCTTTCCGTTATTATTATATCAATTATATATAAAGTGTGAACTGTGTCTTATTCATTTTTTTAACTACTTCATCTTCATTCCCAGGCATCATTATATGGTGTTTTTCATTTTGTATATTTCAATTAATACAGTAATATTGGATAGTACATTGTTCAACAATGCAAATTTTTTATAGGGAGGAGATAAGAAAAATATTTATTTAACATATACCTTTTGATTTTGTATAGGGTTTCTTCTCTAATCTGCTTTCATAATGTAAATGAGGAATGATTGAACCTAATGAAATTAAATTTTACTTTTGATAAGGGTTGGTTTAATTTTTTAAAAATTGGTTGGAGATCATTGAGATATATGTAATTTATTAGTGTAATTATCCCCCCACCAATCCTTATTTAAAATCAATGCAGATCACTCATTTATAAAAAAATCACAAATTAAGGTTTTTAATATTAATAAATTATTTATATATTATAAAATTATATGATATATTGATAGTACATCACTTCAATTTGTTAATGCTATAAAAAAATAAAATCATTGATTTGGAAAGATAAGAAACAAACAATACTGCAATTATGTATGTATGATAACAATTATTATTAAAAATTACATTTAGGCTCTTCCAACTTTGCCGGCTCCTTTATTAGAAATATCCTTGGCCTTTTGTCAGACAGATTTATCGGCATTTCATTCACCACCTTTAACCAGTAGAGTATTGCCTTCACCGCTTATTCTAGCCTTGTCAACTGCAATTTTAATTGTTTTTCCTTCCTCAATCTTTTCCAAATCGCTGTCATTCTTATATTCTATTTTTAACCATTTTTTTGTCAAAAATTATTATTTTTTATTTAGTGTGCATATCTGACATCTGAATTTCAAAATGAAAAAATAAAATCCAAAGAAGTTATTATATAATATCATTACTCAAGACATTTAAACTATAGTAGCCAGATAAATAAAAATAAAGAAATAATACATAATAAGTGACAGGATTTAACTTATTAAAGTAATCCATCTGGTATAGCTAAATCAATTTGTTTAGAATCTACAAATATTTATCACAAGAGTGGATATTGTCAATTTAATAAAAATAAAAATAGTCAATGATTGAATATTAATAATTACCATTATTATTATCAATAATGGTTACTTTATTGGAATTCACAGGTTGGGGAAGGTTTGTAAAATTTAATAATCTGCTAGTATAAACTGCATTTGGATGAATTGCTGCAGTAATTGTTGAAGGATCAAATTTTATTTCATTCATTTTCTTAAACTCTATTTTAATTGATATATCTTTATAATACCAATCAGCAATAACATTATGAATTTCTTCAGCAGTTGGACGTTTATCTGGATTAGCATCCATGCATTTGAATGCTAGCTCAATATAAAATTTTGGTGTATTGTTTGAAAATCCAGGTCTTGCACCTTTACATATATTCATTGCAAGATATTCATCATGTGCCAAATAATTAAATGGTTGTTGGCCAGTTGATATTACAGACATCAGAACTCCAAAACTGTATACATCTGATGCCATTGTATATGATTTCTTTTTTAAAACTTCTGGTGCAATATATGGTAATACTCCACATATATCATTTTTGTTTGTTGATGTTTGATTAGCTGGGCATGATAATCCTAAGTCTGCAATAAATGACTTCCATTTACTTTGAAGAATATTACCACTATGAAAATCATGATGAATAATTTTTTTTTTATTAATATCTTTTAAACCTTCAATAATAAAATAAAGAATATCAACTTTCTTTTCCCATTTTAAATTTTTAAAATATTTAGTTAAATAATTTTGGAGACTTCCATCTTCCATATATTCCATTACAAATATATATTCTTTGGTAATTGGATCTTGTGTTAATCCATAAATATGAATTATATCATCTTTATTATGAAATTTCATATAATTTTTGAACTAAATAATAAATAAAATATTTAATTGCAACAGTAATAATTGATAATATTTAAAAAATCTGAAAATAAATATAAAATAATTTACCTCATTAAGAAATTCATCAGAAATATTCTGTGAATTATTTAATTTTTTTAATGCCACAGTCCTATCTTCACTAGTTCTTCCATCACCACCACTATTTATATCTTTCAAACCATTTAACCAAGTAGCTTTTGATATAGTTGCAAACCCACCTTCACCTATCTTTTCAATATTTGTCAAATCATTATAAGGAATCCATTGAAGATGATTACTATAATGATACTTAGTTGCTTTAAATTGTGTACTTTTAATCAATTTATCTAATGTTTTGTTGCCACTAGTCCATCCTTCAGTTAACAACTTTGGATCACATGATTGACACCATGCCCTATTAGTATTATATCTATTGCAGGTTGGACATTCCCCATAATATTTCTTTCTTTCCTTTGAATATTGATCTTCATAATCTTGAAGACTTCCATCTTCCATGTATTCCATTACAAAGATATATTCTTTTGTAGCTGGATCTTGTGTTAATCCATAAATTTTATTTATAAACTTATAATTATAAAATGTAACATAATTTCTAAACTATATAAAAAAAATATTGAATTTCAGAATAATATTTAAAATCAGAAAATAAATAGAAAAATAAATAATTTACCTCATTAAAAAATTCATCAGAAATATTCTGTGAATTATGTGGTTTTTTTAATGCCACGGGCATATCTTTGTTAGTTCTTTTATTTCTACTTACATATTTATCACCATTTAACCAAGTAGCTTTGGATATAGTTGCAAACCCACCTTCACCTATCTTTTCAATATTTGTTAAATCATTAGAAGGAATCCATTGAAGATAATATTTACTATCATATTTTGTTGTTTTAAGTTGTGTACTTTTAATCAATTTATCTAATGTTTTGTTGCCACTAGTCCATCCTTTAGTTAACAACTTTGGATCACATGATTGACACCATGAATAATAAGTATTATATCTATTGCATGTTGGACATTCCCCATATTTTTCCATTCTTTCATCAGAATATTCATCATTTTTGTTGGTGGAAGTATCGTCATTATGCTTATTTTTATTTAAAGTGTTTCCCATTGTGGTTTTTGTATATTTGTAAAAAAAAATGAAATTTTTTTTTAAAAAAAAATATATTAATTAATATTAAATATATTTAGATTCGGTAGGGAGAGATTCACTCTTGCAGATCGTATTGTATGGTATGGTATGATGTAATCATACAATGTTACACCGGTGTTACGAAAACATGTAATGTATGAACCCCTATTACTATGTATGTAACGTATATATGAATTTTATTTCCATACATGTATGAAAATGCAGATCATAAATACATACATTTTTATTAAATTAATATATAATAAAAATGTATGTATGATTTTTTTCTGCATGTACGAAAATGCAAATCATACATATGATGCAAGTCATTTAGTCCCACAACTTTTTATGGTCATTTTAAAAAACATAGTAGATCCGTCAAATTTTTACCCAAAATTTTAATAGTATTTTTCTGCCGTTTATAAAAGGATCAGCAATTAATGATTATTACTATAGGATAAAATACATAATTCTTGCTGATTACAATTAGGGTCTTCCCTTATTATTATAATAAGAACTAACAAACTATGCTTCGCGTCACAAACTATATGTCTTGTATCACGAATTATGCTTTGAAATCACGAATTATTATTATGCCCCGCTTCATGAATTATTGCTTCAGAAGACCCTAGATTTCATATGATTATTACTTGGGGCGTTGATTAAATGCCAAGGTTTTCTTTATTTACCATTCAACAAAAATTTATTAATTATAATTTGTTGTGCTAATTATAATAAAAAAACATATGTTAAATTAAAAATAGCAAACATACAGTATATTTTACATTTAATTGTTCATTTTCTTTTATAATTATCCTAGTGAGTTTAGCTATTGCAGAAGGAATGTTATTGTTAACCGTTTGGGTCATGTGATTTTATAGTGTTGTGACACTAAAATAGTGTATATACCATTAATTTGAGATGGAAATTTTTTTAAAAAATAAATCAGCAGTAATGTAACGTCGAAATTAGTTAGCTTTATTTAGAAATTAGCGGTTATAACGTTACGTCGCAATTAAAGTGCGATATCGCGGCTAGAATGTTAGATTGCAATGAAGTTGTTATTAATTAATTTAATTGTATAGAAGAAGCTCAAATTCGACTTGCTTGTAAAATAACTTTGTAATAACTTGTTAATAACTTTGTTATAAGTTAATTAGTTTCGACTAAGGAAAACTTTCTTACAAGTTAATTAGTTTCGACTAAGAAAACTAAATAAATAAAATAGTAATATTTTATTTAAATAAACTTTTATCTTCTTTAACCAAAATTATTCGCCAATACCAAAATCAATTCGTTGATCCCCTATTCATTCTGATCCACGCAAAAACAAAAATCATTGTTATCACCAATTAAAATACGCTCTCCCAAATTTAATCGGTGACACTATATCAGATTCTTGTAAACTTAACACTTCTTAGTTTGGGTTTCTATTCAAAATAATGTTTATTATTATAAACAAAATAAAGATTTTATTCAATCATTATTATTATTTTCAGGACTAGTGATGATATTAAAAAAAAATTTTATATGATTACAAAACATATTTATTCTCTTTCCACTTGTTTTCTTTTAAGTACAGCTTCATAGAGTTTCTCTTCCAATTGAATCCTCTTTTCCAATAATGATATATATTGTTCTTGTTGTGATAAATCTTCAGAGGCTTGTGTATTAATATTAGCTGTATCTTCAATCATCATCCTTGAATTGCTACTTGATTTGGTTTTTTTTGATTATTGCTTGATTTATGAATTTTGCCTATTATTTTCATTTTGGATAGTAAATGGATTATCATAAGAATAGCATAAAGAAAACATGAATTATTTATTACCTTTACGTTTAGCTGATTCTACATATTTTTGTGTTTGACTTTTATTTTTTGAAGAGCTTGAAACATTATATTTTGTTGTTATCTTGATTTGATTCCATTGATTTAAATCAAATTTTGAAGAACTAAAAATTAAGCATTAAAAATTAAGCATAATTAATTAATTGAAATAAAAATAAGAAATTATAAAAAGTTTTTAAATTATTTACATGTTTATAGCAGCTAGCAATGACATTCTGGTTCCATCTCTATTAATATTTGCATGTGAAGCTTCCACAACATTAGTATTATTTCTATTTATGTTCCATAATTCATATGGCATCTTTGAGTAATGCTTATTAATTGATGCAAGGATCCATAACCCATTCTAAATAAAGATTATAAACATTAGGTATATTATAAATATTGAATTATATTATTGCTAATTAATAATAAAATACCAGTAATAGATTTATTTTTGGTATTATTAAGTACACTAAAAGCTTCTTCAACTTCAGCTTCCATAAGAAATGGAAATGATTTCATCAAATTTCTTTTTTCATCATCAATATTTTTTATTTTATTGACATTCCTATTTAAAAATCAAGATAAAAAAAAATTTAAATTAACATTTATATTAGTCGCATGACATTTCCCGCCGATCTATAGGAGGTTGTAAAACATAGTAAAATTTGGATGATCTGCATCATAGTAAAATTCGAAT